ACACTCGCACACCCACACCTAAGCCCACATTCACAACAATCCACACCAAAATCAAAAATATAGAAAACAATATTGAAAAAACAGATATTGAAATATGGGCAATGGTAAGCGTCTTCTTTTCATGCACACACTCGCCTCCACTTTCGTTATATCCACCATAAATATTGATTTATCACTATAAATTATGATAAAACCTCTGTTTCTTCAAAAAACCTTTCTTCAGTGAAAAAATCCATTCGAAAATTTTCAAAACCCAATGCCACCAATCAATTCCTCAACGCCGAAAACCTTTAGTCAAAGTTGACAAGACATCATTGTTTTCCTCGAAAAAGGGTTCAAAAAAGTGAGCTCCACATGTAAACTACAAACATGAAGCTCGCTTACCCATCCACCCTTTCCCAATAGAACACAATCCATATTTTCTCCTTTATCGCAGTAAGATGGCATTCCACTGTGATACTAGCTCGGGAGTTATGACTAACGTTCACTAGATATATAACCCGGCATCTTATGGCATCAACTGGGATACTAGTAGCATCACCTAGGATGCTATCAACATTTCAGGTGATGCTACTAGCATTTCAAGTGACGCTAATAGCCTTCCAGATAATGCTCCCAGCATACCAATTGACGCAAGCACTATCCCTGGTGATGCTACTGCCATCCGAGGTGGTTCCTAAAATGAACTCCTAATTTTTTTGTTTACGTAGTTTGGAGCACAGTTTTTCTTTGAGCTAAAACAAGCCGTTTTCCACTAAAACATCTATCTGAAAGTTTTCAAAAACCCATGGTACCAATCTATTCCTCAACCCCATAAAACTTTTTGTCAAGCTCTACCGGAGTAGATGTAGAAAAGAACTGAGCATTATTGTTTCAGACAATGTTTGTTTTCACCCTGAGACATTCACACATACTGGTAGATTTTATTTGAGATGGTCCTCCTTTCAGTCTAGAGAATAAGTAAAAAGGAAACTATACCGTTGGCTAGAGTAATCAATGCCCTTGGAAATGATATAGACAGAAAAAAGTGCTGAAATTTTGAAAGAACACAGAAAATTGATGAGCATTAGAAGAGAAAGAGAGAAACAAGAAAGACTTCAAACTCTACAAAAAGAACTATTCATTATCTTTTTTTCTTTGTTTGCATGCTTGCAAAATTTTGTTTTCTTTACACGTAGGAACTCGTACATGGAAATCTCCTTAGAATTTTGAAAACTTAATATTTCAGATATTAGAAATAATTATCGACACAACAGAATTCTTACAAAGTCCTTTGCTTATAGACTAAGTTACGGAAAGTACTTTCTCGTACATGAGAGACAAAAATCTCGTCGATAATGACGATTCATTTTCTTTGTTCATTGTAGTTATTCCCAATATTCCAATTGATGCTCGATGGTCACAAAATGGAAAGACCGTTGCTGGAGGCAATGGACAAGGTAATGCCACAAATCAACTCAATGATCCATGGGGTCTCTTCGTTGATGATGATCAAACGATGATCATTGCTGACTGCCGGAATCATCGTATCGTCCAATGGAAGATGGGTAATAAGAATGGACAAGTTGTAGCTGGTGGAAGAGGCCAAGGAAATCGGTTAGATCAATTGAATGAGCCAATCGATGTGCTAATCGACAAAGAGACTGATAGTCTCATTATCTGCGATTGGTGTAATCAACGAGTCGTACGATGGTCTCGTCGTAGTGGCACAACTCAAGGAGAAATCCTCGTTGACAACATCAAGTGTCGGGGATTGTTTATGGATGATCAGAGATATCTCTACGTCTCTGGCTACAAAAAACATGGAGTACGACGATATCAAATAGGAGAGAAGAATGGAATTCTCGTGGCTGGTGGAAATGGCAATGGTGGTGGTCTCAATCAATTCAACTGGCCCACCTCCATCTTTGTTGATCAACAACAGACTGTCTACGTGTCAGACAACAACAATCATCGTGTGATGAAATGGAATAAACGTGCAACAGAAGGAATTGTCGTCGTTGGAGGTCAAGGCGGCGGGAATTCTCTGACACAATTGTATTGTCCTTACGGACTCTTCGTCGATACGCTGGGTACCATCTATGTGGCAGACTCGGGGAATCATCGAGTCATGCGTTGGCCTAAAGGAGCAAGACAGGGTACTGTCATTGTGGGTGGAAATGGTAAAGGAACAGGAGCAAATCAGTTCAATCATCCCGTTGGTTTGTCCTTCGATCGACAAGGCAATCTCTATGTCACCGATTATTGGAATCACCGTGTTCAATTTTTTTCAATTCAATAAATTGCATTTTAATCGAAAAAAAAAATTTTTATTTCTATTCACGCGCGCGCGACTAGAAGCCATCCTAATGTAGCTGTGGCGAGCGTAACGCTCGTACACGCTTGGGAAGATCCGCATCAATCACATGCACCCATCCGGTGACCTGCGTCAGTGAGCCTGGGGCCCGATCGTGTTGCCACAGACACCAAGACAGCTCCTGGCTGGTGTTTAAGGTCTATCCGTAAGACCTGATATAGTACGAGAGACCGCAACCTAACTTATTCTCCTCTCAACTCAAACTCAATAAGAAGAGAAAAAAAAATAAAAATAATTACTCACCTTTTCTTGACGATGTTGATGACTGAAACGAAAAAAAAAAGAAAATTAATATATATAGAAAGACAAATAGTGAAAAAGGATACATACGTTTTATTTTATTTTTTTTCATATTGACTTGTTTTAATTTTGAGTTGTTGAGACCAATACCTAAAATATAAAAAGATCAATCGAAGTCGTACTACCTTCGAAATGATCTTTAAGAAAAAAAAAGAAAAATTGAAAACTAATACCTACATTTTTAGTTTTGATTGTATTGTATTGATATTGATATTGAATTGATTAGTTTTGAGTCTTTGAGAAGTAACCTAAAATATAAAAGGAAAAAGGTTAGAATGATTCAAATAATTGAATGATTTTCGATTAAAAAAATCATTCATTTTTATATACATTTCAATACATTTTTTCTCTCGTTCAAATAATAATTAGTCAATTTTGATTGAGGTTAAATCGAAAATATACATCGAGATCATAATAATTATGGACGACAAAAAATAAATCGTCCGATCGTCGTCGTTTTATATGTGTTTTCGCTCACATTCTATTTTTCATAAGAGAGAACGAGTGGCAAAGAAAAAGGATGGTATAACAACAAACATTACATTACAGAGCATAAAACAGGCCTACTTTTTCTAGGCCTGGCCTGCCCGTGGCAGGCTTCAAACTTCTACAGCCCGCCTGTGCCTGTCGCTCATTTTCTGGGGCCTGGCCTGCCTGCCTGTCGATTTCGGTTGGTCTGCCTGGCCTGCCTGTCGAAACCTGTGTATAGTTTTTATGCGTCAATACGGTATAATGATTAGCCTTTTGATTACGGGATCCGCATTTATGTCGGCTGAGCGTCTACGTAGATTATAGTTTTTACAGTCTTCT